AACTGAGTACGCTGATCATGCCTTGCTCGAGGCCGAGATCCGACAGCCACTAATTGCACCGCGCTGCCGCGTAACCTCGCCCCGACCTCGCAGCGCCTCTAGGCGTCCTGTGTGGACACCCTTCAACGGGAGTAATGGAGAGCCCTGGTGACTTCGGGGTGCACGACGCGACGCCTCATGGCTTGGCAACGCTCGTGCGCGAGCTGGCCACGTCGTATTTCGTACCCGCTGAACGCTCAGTACCGCCCAGACGAAGTGCTGAGCAGGCCGATCTCGAGGCGCGAATCCGTGCTGAGCGAGACCCTGCCGCGCGCCAGCTGTTTCTCGAGCAGGTTGCGCTTTTCGGTCGTGAGTTCACCTGCCGATGCCAGGAATGGAATCACACGGGATTCCGATTCACTCGAAAAACTGTGACGTGGTCTTTGGTTGTGCAGAGGTTTTCCGACAGGACCGTGGTGCCTGGGATAGCGATTCACTTATGCGCGGTAGCAGAACGAAGACATGTGAAACCACGCGTGTGAGAAACCGTGCCATGATGGACCGCCTGCGACGACTGGGAGCGCAGAGCGAGTGCTCTCCTGCGCTTGCCTTTTCAGCGGTGCTCCGAGCGACTGCGCGGCTGCGCTCGGGAAAATCATGTGGCCCCGACGGTCTCCCAGTCGAGCTCGCGCAGGGTCTTGCACTGCGCGCAGTAAGTCGCATCGAATCTATGTTACTTTGCATTCGATTGGTGAAGATGGCCACGTCATCCTCTTGGCGCGAGGTGCTAGTGACGCTCGTGCCGAGTATCCATGGCCTACGATCGTTGGATGGTACGCATGGCATTGTTGTTGCCGGCGTTCTTTGCAAGTGGTATCTCGCATCTATTGCACTGCTTGTGGAACAGGAGTCGGAGCCCCTCATGCGCCGCATGGGCCTGTATGTCCGGCAGTGGAAGGTGTTCGTGGGAGATTTCGGGTGCCCTCCAGGCCATTGCGCAGAGCGCCAGGGTGTCTGGAGTAAGGATCGGACGGCCTTCACGGCCTCGGCCGATACAAAGAAAGCTTTCGACCACGTTGCTTTGGAAATGGTGTGCCAGCTTCTGGAGCACCTCAAAGTGTCCCATGGGCTCCCTAGGCTCAGCTGCGCCTTCCTGAAGCTCCTGCGGGACGCAGTCGGGGCACTGACGTTCGAGGGCATGGAGTCTGTGGGGGTGGCTTGGGACAGGTCGATACGACCTGGGGGGACGGAACCACCATTTTTTTCCAACCTGGTTGTGATTGCGTTGTGGTCTTCGGTCGTTGCTACCTGAGGCCAGAAGGACCCAGGCTACCCGATAACGGATCTTGTGGACCCCTCTACACATTTCAGCTATTCAGCTACAACCACGGCCTGGGGGCCGACACCATCTAAATTGTTGTTGCAAGCTCGGCTCAGGACTTTCGACGTTTACCCTCTGCTTTGACAGAGGCTTCACACGATTGGGGCCTTGAACGGAAGCCCGATTCACTCGAATACCTTGTCTTGCCGTCTACGGCGGTTTTTCATGTCTCAGGGAGTGATGGGCCTGTTGCGCTCTAGCAAGCTCCTCGGCCTGGTGTGCTTGGCACGTTTGTGGAGTCTAAGTTTGACGGTGCGCATGGGGGGCATGCGCCGCCGTGTCGACAGTGCCCGCCGTGTCTTTTTTTCGAAGAAGCGACGCATTTCAGATGCAAAGCCGTCGCCCTCTTGGTCAGTTGCAGAAGATTTCAATTCAGGATCCAATCGATTCTCGCGCATGGTTTGGATGCGGCAGCTTTGGGCCTGGAGTGGCCAGGCTACTGTGCAGCTGTGACAATTCCTTCCTGATGGCCATGCACGGTGGCATGATACCTGCATTGGGAGGGCTGGAGCATTTGGCGCCCGCGACGTTTGGGTCATGTCCGCGGCCATTTTTGCGAGGGTGGGTTTGCCGGCGCTGTGCAGATGGTTGCCTGGAAGAGCTGGTGTGTCGCGCGCAGTGTGCACAAGTGCGTGCAGGGTCAGTTACGCTTGCATCGGCGTCTTGCTAATCCGGAGGATGAGGGAAACAGAAACACTCGACGTCGATTGGAAGGGGATAAACACATGAGCTGCCACGCTTTCCTGGTCAGTCGAGGGGCCTTTCTGCTCGACGTTGTGGAATGCACGTCCAGCAGAGACGACCTCACCGAATGCCTGCGCATGACTGGCTTCAGGACCACCGCGGGCCAGGGCAAAAGACCCCGTGGGGTAGGGGTGCGTGTCGGTCAACGATCTTGATCGTATCCGTACAGGGAGATCTTGGGCACGTCCTGGTGGGGTTGCTCTGGCGCGACTTTCGTTGGTTGCCCACGTTTCTTCGGGGGCGGCAAAGAGGGGGGTGATGACTAGGGGGGGGTGGATATCTTGACGGGGGCCGTGATATTTTCCATATTTCATGGCGCCTCTTCTTATTTCATTACGTCCCTGGCACCCCCGCTGGGCCGCGCACGTGCCGCCGGTCATGATTTGCACCCCCCCTCTTTGACGCCCCCCTCTTTGCCGCTCCCGATTTCTGTCAAGCGGTCTTGGGACATAGCGGTAGGCCGAAGACCTGTGCGTGCCTGTGCGTCTCGGGAAAAAGACTCCAAATGTGCGGGCGTGGGTTCGAGGTCAAGCAGGAGACCTCTAGACTCTCGGGGGCGGCGCTGGAAAAAGCAATCTGGGAGACTTGCGACGATCAACGAGCATGCGACGGTGTGGGATGTCTCTGGCGAGGGCCTTGGCATCGAGCTCCAAGGGGACGCCTTGCTTGTGCTCTCTTGGCTGGCGTTCCAGTGGGGATGTCGCAACAGGAGATTTCAACGACGTGTCGCTGTGCGTGCTAACAACCTTTCTGAGGTGAGCTGCAAGTATCCTCCGTGCTGCCAATACAGGAATGGATGTATATCGCCCATAATATCGAGAAGCAAATGCCCGTGCCGGTAAACTCACCCACCTTGTCCGCGAGGGCAGGACTTTCAACCGTGACTGCGTTTCACGCAGCCCGATTGGTGGGGGAGCGAGCGAAGACGGCTTCGCATGTGGTTTCTGGTTGCAGGCGGGGTGCCTCGATTACTCGATGTGGGGTCCCACGTGCCACTCCGCGTCGCTTGGCTCTCGCTTCGCGAGGAGAGCGAGCACGTCGCAAGCAGCTAGCTCAACTGATCCCCTCGTTTGGGAGGATGCGGTTGTTGCGCGCTCGCTTTCGCCGCCGGATTCCACGACTGCAGACTGCGAGTTGTCTCCCGCCGAGGCTCCTACGCGAGCCCTCCACTTAGAGCTTGGCCGCCAAGGTGCTCGGACGGGCCGCGGTGTTCCACCGCGCTGAGGTCTGCGCAGACCTCCAAAACATCGTTTACGGTTTACCGCGGGCACCCAGTTGGCCGACCCGACTCGGGCGAACAAGGTGACGACTTGGGCTCGGTTTTCTTAAGCCTTGGCAGAGGTCTGACTGGTCACACTGGGAAGGCAGATCGGTGCCTAGCATCGCATGCAGTTTTTCTTTTCGATGCACTTCGAACAGCCAACTTCATGTCGGCACGTCTGGCAAGTGCTGCCAGTATTGCCATTGTAACTCGAGCTACAGGCAATACGCAGAGCTGTCAAGCTTACCGTTCAATCGGCATGATCTCGCGCAGCTTACAGACATTGCTTGAGGACTGAACGCAGGCTCGATCGAGAGTACGATTCGGGAAGCAATTCCAACGTGAGTCGCATGCCGCCTTGCGTCGGTTATGTTCTGTCTTAGCTTATCGTCAAGCCAGCCAATGACCTCATGTGAAAACATCCGCATCTGTTACGTCCCAGACGTGACGCCATGTCGCTTCTATCGGGCTTGAAAGAGTCGTTCGCGCCTTAAGTCGGTGGTGTTTTTCTTTTAATCGAAATTGGGAGCCAGCCAAAGACCCCAGACGCTTGCATATGAAAACAACAGCATCTGGTACATCTCACAGGCGACGCGATCAAGCTCCAATCGAGAAAGAGCAAGCACAAGCACACGAAACATTAGTCAGTTGAGCTGTATGCTGTCGTGCGTGTGGTGTTCTGGTCTTGATTGCAGCTGGGAGTAGCGAGTGAGGTCGCGTGCACTGTGATGAAAGCGTATGCGTTTCTACGCGTGCTATGAAATTTGCGAGGTGTCCCGCGTTAGACTTGTTGACGGATTACAGCGGGCACTCATATTGAATATTCGTTTGACGAGCCAGTATTTTTTCCTATCTAGTGAGTTCTAGGGCGTTGTTGTGCTTTAGTTTCAGGTCTGTAGCTGCAGTATTACCAGCAACACATTTGGAGAGACCGACGTCGCGTGGATGCCAATTTTTGCGTGCGCTCGGTTGACAGACCTGATTTCGAGAATTCCATAGAAAAGGGGGGTACGTAGAAGGAGGGGAAGGCGAATCGGGGGGCTGGAGGAGGGCCTCCTCCATGGCGGGCAGGACGGGGCGATGGGGCACACTGGGAAGAGTGTCCCGCTAGCACGCGGACGACGATGAGGGTTATTTCAAGATTAGCGACGCCGTCGCCACGACGCGACGTTGCCTGCCACGCGTGTGTGTGTGTGTGTGTGTGTGTGTGTGTGTGTGTGTGTGTGTGAGTGTGTAAAAGAGCGCGTTCGGTGGACGCTGGGGCTCCCTCCCGCCCTGGGGTGGAAGGGGGGGGAAGGGGGGGGGGGGAAGTGTTCGAACCAGGGCTCCGGCGGGCCGCTTCCCGTGTGCTTGCTGGTGGGGGACGGAAGGCGAGGCACGAAAGGATAACGACGGAGGTGTGGCAAGAAAAAGCCTTGGGTTCACCCAAGCACTTAGTATGTGGTGTCGCCCCCCGCGCGTGTAGCGACCAGCGGTTTCTAGAAAGCGCAGAGGTGGCCAATCGAGTCCCATCCGCGCACACGTCAGCGTGCGCGTGCTACGCATATGTTGGAGTGGGACGCTGGGAGCGACGGTGTCCCAAAGCAACACGCATTTTCTTCCTGCATGGTCGTCGGGATGCGATCCGTCGCCGAA